CCCTACTGCACATATGCGTTGGCTCTGAATACAGAGCAGGAATATGGAGCAGGAATACAGAAGAGAAGAGTGCGGGAGAGAGAGAGAGAGAGAGAGAGAGACGAAGACACTAAAAAAGGTAATAAAAATATTACTTTTTAAATCTGTTTTTAACTAAGTGAGCCACATCCCCGGGCTGCGAGCCGAGCCACAGCCGCCTTGCCAAGCATGGGGGCAAACAGGCTGAGACGGAGTGGGGCTGCCCCTCCCGCGCCTCCACCGTGACCTTCTCTGGGCAAGCGGCTGCCATGCTTTCTTCTCCCACGGCAGGGAGAGGCAGGAGGTGCCCCTCTCGGCCAACCGCAGCCCCATCCCTTGCCTCCCCTCACCTTGGGAAGCAGCCATCACCTCCCTCCCCATGGCCCTCTCCCAGCCAGGGGAGCCACCCCGCACTCATCTCTCTTGCCTCCTGCTCCCGCTCCCCCTCCTGGAGCCAGGCGAGCACCTGCAAGGGGACCTTCGTCCGGCAGTGAAGCGGGGAGGTGGTGAGGAGCCTGGAAGGCCTTGACTGAGGTGAGCGTGCCCTCATGGCTCTTCCTCGTGTCGTGCTCTCCCTTTCGGCAGGCGGTGCAAGGTCATCTTGGGCTTCTGCTGCAGCCTGAGCAATCAGAGCAACCATTTTAAATTTTTGATTATTTTTAATTAATTTTAATTTTAACTAATTTTTAATGTGCAGTGTGCATAGGAATTCATTCATATTTTTTCAAACTACAATCTGTCGGCCTCCCTCAACAGTCTGAGGGACAGTGAACTGGCCTCCTGTTTAAAAATGTTGAGGACCCCTGTCCTATAGCCATGCAAATGTTTATACAAGTTCATGGAAGAGCCTGAGGTATGTCAAGAGTTACATTACTGTTTAATTGATCTACTGTTTGGGGACCAGGGCAAAAGATCCTCCCATAATGCTACTCATGAATCAAAATAAGGCACAGACACTGTCATTTGTTTTACAACTGAACACCAAAAAACCTTGGGAAAAGAAGCAAAAGGCAGAAAATAAGAGATGAGCTGTCAGCGGTACTTTATATTCAGCCAAGCTGAGTAATGTTCCTTTGCTGGTGTTCTTGCTGAGTTGAAGACGAAGTAACTGCCCAGCAATCCTTAGTCTTCTGGATAAGACATCAGTCAACCTGACCATCCCTTGTCTCTGCAGCCACAAGGCCACTGACCCTTGCAGAAGAGGACTTTGTAGCAGGAATGGGGGAAGCAAACTGGATCTCTAGTCCTGTAGTTGAACAAGTTTTGCTTGGGCAGTCTGAGAACAAGAGGATGCATCAGGCTGGTGTTAAGTGATGATCCTGAGTATCCTCTTTCCCCTGTTTCAATTTAATCTGGAAACGTCTTGCTTGCTTGCATCTGTTCTTTCTAAGGTAGAAAGCACTGGGCCATGTGGCCAATTGAGGCAGATTCCTACAAAAAGGGACTACAGGAATTGGTAAGAATCTTCTTTTAGTCCATTTTCTATAAGAATTTGCCAAAAATTTCAGATTGCTTCATATTCAACCTGAAAAGAAAGTGAGATTTTAAAAAGGAATGTGGGAAGAAGTAAAACTGGTCCAAGGTTTCGAAACTTTGCCCTTAAGAAGTCTGGGTTGGAATCCCATTGAAACCCTAACCATAGCCCAGTTCAGACATTCTAAAAAGCATTATCAGCAGTGCATGAGTTCTCCAGTCATACTCCTCTTCTCCATAGTGTTTCTCACTCTGTAGAGCTTCCTGTATCCCAGGTTCTCCACACAAGTCCAAAACCTGGAAAATCTATATTCAGCTGTCATGAAGAACCCCTAAGCATAGGCTTTGCTTGGCATAAGTGCCATGCTACATAATAGAAACTTCATTTACCTAATTAGATATTGTTTTGGGACCCTGAGAAAGATGGGCAAAGGACTGGGCACACAACCTGGGATCCCATCTGCTAAGACCAGTCAGCAAAACATGTGCTTAGTGTTACGATTAGCTTCCCACTGCTTAGTCACTGCACTGTCACTGCGCAACAGCAAGCTCCTCTCCCAGAAGTAGTCTACATAAGCTGGACGTCTTTCCTTATTTTCCCTTATGTCTTGTTCAGACTACCTGCTTGAAGGTGGTTTGACTGTCTGTTCCAGCTGATTGAAGCCTGCCTCATAGGCTCATCCACACAGAGTGTTAGATGTGCTTGCTAAACCCTTTGCAAAGCTAGCCAGTAATTTTCTGGTCGATACAGTAAAACCTCCTTGTAAGTAAACCTGGGCCTGGCATACCAATTTCTTGGGATCACTCACTCAAACCTCTAGCCCACATCTCGGGCAATCCCCATCGCACCCCACCTCCTGCCATCCTCCCATGGACATTCCCAGGGACTCTGTGGCAGAAGTACATTGTCTCCCCAATACCCAACACAGTTGTGAGAACTTCTGCACTCACCATGGCTCCCCCGCTTTTTTTCCCACCAGAGGTCACTTTTTGAAATCTCTGCTTTAAAACCTGGTGAAAGTACTCACACAGCATATCACAGGGACTTTTCTGGTTCATTACCCTACCCCCATTTTTAGTGCAAGAATTTTGCAGAAATAGTTTTGAACATTTTAATCAAGTTTTCTTCCACTAAAAGAAAAGAGTAGTTCAAGTGCAAGCTTGCACAGGGCCACAATGGCAAGCCTCACCTGGGCAATGTCCCAGGTGGTGTTTGCTGTCAAAATGAAGCCAGCATCCACCATGGGCACCAACCCAGAAACAGCTGTGAAAAAGTGAGCTGTCAAAAGAAACAAATGGAACCCTGGCTCATAGAACGGGATGGCCAGTAGATCACCCTCTTTGCAACAAGATTTTCTAGGGTTTCGTTTGTTGTGGTGTTGGTAGCTTTCAATCTGACTCATCACATTCCTCACAATTTTCTACCTTTTCCCAAGATTCAAGGTACTTGGAAAATACAAGCCATGCCTTTTACAAGAGTATGGAGTGTTGACAGCTAGCTGTCAAAACTGCAGTTCATTTTAAAAGAGATTTTTGAAAGGGCTAGCCATGGCTTTTTGGCAGGAAAATATGAATTCATGCCTGCATCTGCTCCTGTCAAGAAATCCTGAATGGGTGTTTTATGAATGGAGGTTTATACAAATATTTAGTCTGCACTTGTTGATGATGTATAATTCTTAGCCACCTCTCTCTCTCTCTCTCTCACACACACACCCACACACCCACACAGAGAGAGAGAGAGAGAGAGAGAGAGAGAGAGAGAGAGAGAGAGAGAGAATACACATTCATTTAAACTAATATATATTCAACGCTATGGTGCTGTATTATTTATCTTTCCCTGTATTGTTTCATGTCTATGTTCAATAGTATGGTAGATAAGATGGGACATAACCCTGTTACCGAACTGAGCCACTCAACAGCCGGGGCAAACCCTGGGTGGACCCCAGACCCGAAGCCAAACAGAGCCTGAGACAAGACTTAGAGCTAATAGCAGTTTTATTCTAGTGCACTATGGAATAAACGGAGACAAGGGGGAGATGCTTCCCAAATCAGTCTCGAAAGAGGCACAGAGAACATACATTATATACCCTACGTCATAAACATGTTGTCCAGACACAAAGTAAATTCATTTCCCCATTATTCTTTGTTCTATTTGTTAGTTTACAGAAAACTGTTTATTTATCCAAAGATTCCCCTTCTCATGTGTCTGTTGATTATCTCTAAACTATTCACACCTGCTTTATGTTTCTCATCTACTAGTAATTTATAATACAATTTGCTACTTTTATTGAGGTTTCACCCAGATTCCAACTGGTCCCAGGCTCCAAAGATATTTCCCACTTGCCCTCTATGACATCCAGTTCACACAGGGTTCACTATTCTCCATTCCTCCCCGCTCCCTCCTGGACAGGAAGTACAACATGGCTGCAGTTCTCTGGCTAAGTGGTTAGCCTAAGTGTTGGTGAGAGAGAGTGTGTGTTTCAGGTGTGTTTCGGGTAACAACCCCTATATTGGAATACTTGATATCCACCAGCAGTATCTTCAGTCCAGGGGAACTGTTATCAGGGTCTCTGAAAGACCAGCCAACATCCTGTTGCATTCCCAATCCCTATAATGGCATTGCTACTTCCCACCATTATATGACAGAATCAAATGATGTGACCACAACGTGTAATGAGTTTCTCTGCTCCATACTCTGTTGTCCTTCAAATGTGCCTGGTCTACCTATGAAGCCAAATGAAGCAAGGCATTATATTGTGAACCACAAGTTGGAATCATATAACAGTGCTCTTCATCATTTTATATTTAATGAAAGTGAATCATCAAAAATTGAGTAGGCACAAGTACAAACTTCCAATATTCTGTTGCAATTCATCTCGTCAACAATATAGGCAACAATGTACATTAAAAGAAGTTCATCTTGGAACATGGCATCTGTAATGTATTTGATGAGTTTGGCAATTGTGTGGAATTTCAAACCACTCTGAAAAATGATTGTCACAGGAAGAGGTGAAAAATGCTTAAAATTGACATATGTACCCCTTTCTACTCCAATTTTCAGATAGGTATCTGTATTTAAGATATTTTGATGAGAGAAAACTACTGATATACTTTATTCAGACTCAGGTGGATTGTAAGGCCCCTAGGAAGGCCTCGGCAATTATAAGCGGCCTATAAATACATGTAAATTGTTTTAATAATTAGTATCTTATAGTTTTATATTTATTGTATTTTTATATCTTGCAAGCCATCCTGAGTGCTTGAAGCAATAGAATGGGGTATAAACGTATGTAATAAATAATAAATAATTTGAGGATGGCAATGTTCCGCGAGTTTGCTGAAGTTCTGAGTCATGGTTCAAATGTTAGTCAGGTTTCTCTACCCTATTAAAGCCTACAGCAGCCACTCATGACAAAGTTGTATTGTTCATCTACATTTTGAAGCCAGAAGGCTGCCACAGCTCCAGTGTTTTCAAAGGAATTTATTTGATGAATGAAGAGATAAAAATGTCATTTCTAGACATACTTTAATATGCTTGGTACACTTGTTTTTGTTTTTTCCTCAGCCCCATGTTTCCTAGTTCATAAGTATCTGTTTAGCTCTGTAGAGTTTCTCTGCATTCTGACAAGTAGTGGGTAAAATCAAGATATTTGCACAGAAACAGAAACTTCACCTGCTGGCTTTCTAGCATCTGTTTTCAGTATTTTATACAAACCATGATGATATCATGGAGTTGTTAAATATTAAGCCTTTTCTCTCCCTGAGCTCTAGAAAGTAGGAAAAAGAAGTTATACAGCTGGTAATGGCTGGATGAATTGGGTTTTATGAGCAGCAAATCTGTAAAAGACATTCCTTGAGATTAGCCTAGTGGTAGTTCTTCGATCTGATGTTAAGCTTCAAGTCCATTCAGGTCAATGGAATCTTTTTGCTGCAAAGAGTCAACTATGTCCATGCAGTTCTGTTGTCAATGTTCTGGCAGTCAGTGAAAGGTAGCAGGAAACTGAAAATTTATACAACAGTGACATGTTTTTGAGTCACTCTGCCTGAAAGATCATTAACAGAGAGACAGAAGTGAAAAGTGATGGCATGCTAAAATCTGAGCAACTTAGTTTAATGTAAACCTTTTTGAGCATAGACAAACATCTCAAATCATGTATACAGATCTACTTAGTTAATAACAAAGCATTTGGTGTCTTTTCCTTTTTCCTCAACACTGTAATTGTACATTTTAAAAAAAAAATGACAGAATTCAATCACTTAAAAATGCTGATTGAAGTCTAGAGTTAGACTCAATTCTACAAAGCAAGAACATTGGAAGCAAGTGTAACCCCAATGAAATACTGGTACAGCCCAAAAGGGTGGGACTAAGATAGAGTGGGGCAATAAGAAATTTCAATCAAAAAGAGTGGGAAAGCTGGAGGGGCAGGAGTTGCTGTTGCCACCAAGGCCCTTGCTGACTTGGTCTAGATATAACTCCGTGTTGTGGAGTGAATCCACATAATGAATTCGTGTATATACAATTGAATTGGCGTTTTATTCCAGGGTTTTGAAGATTCTGCACATGCAGCTGACTATTCTGTGTTGTGGATACCTGGACCAGTTGAAGCAGGCATTTTAGATTCTTTTGTCTGAGTGGGATTCAAAAGGATACTTTGCAGCTTTACAGCCAGGTTGTTGCTGTTGTTTAATTGTTGCAGTTGCCAGGGACTTGGGTGAACAGCTTGTAGTATTTTGTTACTATTATAACTGTTCATACTGTTTTGTTATAAAATTGATAATGAGAGGTTCATTTTATATGTACAGCTGTGTTACAATGTTCATTAGTAAGCAAACAGCCCCATAGAACATAACAGTGTCACACAAGCAGATTAGAAGGCACGGCCCTCAGTCAGTAATAACAAATATTGTGCTTGCTTTCCACTTATCCTCCATGCACTCAGGCTTGCCCTTGATCTTTTTCAGGCTCAGATCCAGAGCCTGAAAGTCAGGAGTGCTTGGAAAATCGCCCTACATTCTTCCCTTCCCTTGTATTGCATTACAAAGCCTTTAATTTTTACTGTTCTGCTAGAAAAGTGACTTGTCCCTTCCGTTTGCCGCTTTGAGATCTATTAGGATATTACCAATAAGTGTTCTGATCTTTCCATAAACGTTAGCCTACCTGCAGTGCTCTAGATTATTCATAAAAGTACCAATTATGCAGAAGTTAAAAAATTATCCACAGAAGGAGATGCAGGGGAGAATTCAGCAGAAAAGGCAGTGGCCTCCACAACCTGGTATACTCCAGAAATGGTGAATTCAACTCTCTTCCGCCCCATCCAGAATGGCCAATCGGCAGCAATCCCGGCAGCTAGAGCCCCCGAAATCTGAAGGGCACCAGGTTGGGGAAGGCAAATTTAGATTATTTATTCAAAAGAGTGTTACACAAAGAGAACACAATTATTATATGGCAGGAGTATAGAATCTCTTTCAAAAAAAACCCACGACATTTCAAGGAGACTCAAGAGGACCACTTTTCAGCAGTTGTACCATTAACCTGGCACCTTGTAGATTCCCAAAATCATATAAATTGTTCCCATAGTTTTTTTTTTTTTTTCTAGATCAGGAACTCCAAAGAGTTTGGGAGGCCACAGAGGTCTGTAATTTTAAGACAAAAAAATACATATCACATTCAGTCACCTCAGTTATTTATATAACCTCAAAAATACCAACCAAAGAAAGTCACCATTAATTATAAACTCTTCTGAGAATGAGGCAGAATGATGGAAATCTTTCATGTGGAAGATAATTTTCAAGAAACCAGAGGAAAGTTTTTTAGCTTAGTGCTAGCTTTAGAGCCTCCCTTGAGTTTGACACAACTTTTCCCCCTGCCCCCCAAAAAATGCATGGCCGAGGATACCAGGTTGTCAACATACCTGATTATTTGGTTGTTTATTTAAAAGTTTTGTATCCTGTCCTATACACAGAAGTCTCAGGACGGTCCAACAACAATGGCACCGCATCATATCTGCAATAAAAACCTGACTAAAACTGAAATTCTATCGTAAAATAATGGGAAAATTAAAAGGGGTTGGCCTGGCCTGGCACCAAAAAGACTAAAGTGTTGGCATGAGGCACACCTCCCTGGCAAGCATGTTCCACAGCTGGGATGCTACCACAGAGAAGGCCCTTCTCCAGGTAGCCACTTTCTTAATCTCTTTCAAAGAGGGCTCCTGAAGAAGGACCTCCAACCCAGATCTTAAGAGGCGGGCAGGCACACAGTGAAGGAAACACACCTTCGGATTCTGTTGCCATTTGCAGTAGTTCAACAGGAACTGTTTGGAAGCTATACTACAACTCCTGCCACTGATGAATCCAGTTGCACTGATGAATGAGAAATAGTTGCAGAATGTATTCTCCCCCTGCAGTAATGTGGTTAAATTCCCTCACACACATGCAGCAGTTCTTACTCAAAAAATAGGGCAAAAATTATAAAGGGATCATGAGTAAAACCAAAACAGATGATTTATTAGATAAATATGAATATAAGCATGTGAAACAGCATCAGCATATGCAAATAGTATTGTTCCAAGTAAGAAATGCAGAAAAAGTGAAACAAAAGTATCTAAACTTACTAAACAAAAGTATCTATGGTTAACCAAAGTATTCTGCTTTTAATGCTTAGGTGTGTATCTTCTACTTGGTTAATTACACTGAAATGCAAAAACCACAGATAGCAATCAGCCTACATTCAGTAAACTATCAATACCTATCAATAAACATATAAAACTGAACATTAGGAATTTTCCTTAACAGTAGGTAAGTTAGAAAAATAGCCTTTCGCTAAGCGTAACATGTGCCTCACTGCTGTGAGTATGAGGATATCAATATCATTCTTGAGATCTAGTTCATGAGAATAATTCTTAACAGGAACTATTTGATTCAGAGGAATGCCAAGTTTTTCTTGAAATAACTGCATCTGTAGAGAAAATGAAAGACAATTATCAAGAGAACCATCTTTTTTATGTCCGACTGCTTCCAACAGAAGTTTACCCTGACAATGGTACACTGCTCTTCTTCTTAAATTTGTGATCTGCATGGCACAACAATCCCTCACATACAGCCAGCCCTGGCGAATTATCATGTTATCTGAATCCAGCATACTTCCTGCAGGGTGGTCTATTTTTCATGACCAAGCTGCCCTGAGAAACTAGGTTGTTTTAAGGCTGTTCCCATCCATAATAGGTTGTGCCATCTACAGTATCTGGCAGACCAATCTCACCATGGTCCCTTGCCACACTTGCTAACCCAACCCAGGCTATTGGCTCAGGCATCAATGACCCTTTCTGTGGTTGCTGTGGCTTCTTTCAACTTGCTTTTTTGGAGATAGCTTTTTGCAATCACCAAAGTGACAGCCAGCAACAGCTCCTCCAAAGCAGCATAGCCCTCAAGCAGCAGCCAGCATGGTTTATCTAGTCTTATCTTCATTGTAATTTTTACAATTTTCCTCTTAATATGTTGGAGGCATGCAAGTGTATCCTCTAACCACATAAACTGCAGGACCTTACATTGGAAATGTCCTGTCAGAACAAGTACCATCCATGGACAATGACAATGCCAGGCTTCAATGATGTTACTTTGTTTTCACTTCTCTTCATACCAGGCAGACAAACATAAAATAAAAGCATGAGAATATCTTTGCTTGCAAGAGGGGTAATAAGTAGATCATCCCCTTCACAATGAGACCCTCGAGATTTTACATCTGGACCTGACACATCTCCTACCCTCTTCCTAATCTTCTGGGAAAGTGGAAAACTGCAGCCTGTGAAAAATGCTTGTCATCCATTGGCAGAGCCCTCTCCCCCATGGGCAGTTTGAAAAGGCTGCCAGGGTCTACTGAAGCAGAGACTGTGAGAGCCAGCTGTCCAGTCAGACAATCCCTAAAGAAAATGACTAAAAGGATAAAAACTGTGGCAAGCTGAGAATGGCTTGTGATCACAGTGAAGAAGATACGTACCATGCCAGTACCGGTCAAGCCTAAATGCCATGGGGGACTCGCGGAGGGGCTGATAAGCTTGGCAAGGGACTTTTGCAAATATTGGCAAACAGCTAGATACCCGATAGATTGTCCTATCATGAGCCCAGTCTCTGTTTCCTGTTCTTTAACCAGTTACCTTGCTATAAAAGGGTAAATATTTTGCTAAATCTGTTCATTCTCTGGTGAGAGGCTTTTGGCAAAATACTTCTGGAAGCACTTGAAGTAAACAACATCTACTGTCCACCTGTTAACTGGTAATGGGAGCTTCTCCCAGGTGTTTTATTTATTTTATATAAATTAAATCAGCTGGAAGGTTCTGAACTTCATATCCAGGTCAGAAACCTGCAATTGTGCTCCAATATATCTGAAGGCTGCCCAGGTGAGGATGTTGTACAAAAAATATTACTTCAGAGTTTTCATCGCTGCATACAAGGCTGTATATATCCCTGTCAAAGGATCCTGATTATTTCTGCCAAAACACTTCAAATCTATTTTGATTCGATATTGCCTGTCAAATTTTTAAAAAGCACACGCATTTCAATATTTTAAAGACCCAGAACTGCCAGAAACGGTGTGATAACAAAATAAGCCCCAAATGCTGAAAACAGACTATGAATGAGGCCTCTTTGATTTATTCAGCTGGTCCATTTATTCCATGCAGAAGCCTTTAAGATGTGGCTTGGATAAGCATCCATTCCATTGGGTGGCAAAACAGAATGGAGAAGCAAATATATTCAGTGCAGAGTTACAGGTACATGGGAGTTTATCTCATGTGTCTTGGGCTTCCCATCCAGGTTAGAAGCCTGTGGTTGTACTTCAAGACATCTGGAGTTGTTTGGGTGAGAAAGGATGCTATAGTACCTTGTTCTCAATTCATATTCAAGATAACAAATAACATTTACCTGCTTCACAACTGCTTTGCTTCTGTACACATCTGAAACATCTTCCTCAAGAAAAGAGCAAATTGCATCAACTTTGGTTAGTACAGCAAGCACCGGGATGTCTGTGGAAAGACAAGTTATACAAATGATGCTACTACAAAGCAAGGGTAATTCAGACTCTTGAACTGTGATTAGACATCACCACTGTTTCTTAGCAATACTTTTAATTAAACTTTGTAGAGCTGTGTTTTACAGAACTATGTGTGAAATATTCACTTTCACTGGAGTCCTGTGGCAAGTCAAATGTTCAGCACTTTGAATGGTGAACAGACTAGTCCTGAGTTTATCTGTCATTACCATAAATCCCTCATCTACTTGGTAGCAGGCTGTCCAGTCAAGATAGAAGCATTACTCACTTTGTGCAAGACAACACTAAAATATTGATTTCAGCATTCACAAAACAATTGCATGAAGAACTCACCTAGGATTTTGGTTTCTTTCCGAATCTGTCTCAACTTTTGTTCCATCTTGTCAGACAGAATCTCTACTGTAGACCCATCAATAATAAGCACAACACAGTGAATCTGGTCTTTCAAAGATGGGTTCCTGACATAGCCTGGAGCATTTGGCTGAATAACAGCACATGGATTAAACTGAAATGGGAAAAATAATTGAGGATGCTTAGGACAGGAACAGATTCCTACAGGGAAGTTCCTTGAAAAGACCCAGCAACTAAACATGTATAACAACACATGAAGATACAGAATATATTTGTGTCCTAAAGAGAGACAAACTCCTTATGGGAAACACAGGGCCAGTTCACCCATAAAGCAGTGTCAGGTGCCCACATCAAGGGGTAACTACTCTGCCAGCCACTCTCTTGCTGTGATATTTTCTGTAATGAGCTGCCCAGCTTTTACTTCCCCTCTGAAAGTCTGCAACAGGTTTGACTGACATGAGAACTAGCCAGTTTCGTAAATCATGAAGATCCTGCAAGACTCACAAGGTATTGCAACTCTCCATTTTTCTGGCATGGTGATGACAAAGGTGAGGGACCATTGGTGTGCATGCAGGTGGAGAAAGGAACGTGATATAGTGCTGTGTCTACAAGTATAAGACATTGAAAGTGAGGAGGAGAAATGTAGAGGCAGGAAGCCGCACATGTTATCCACTTCAGGAAGGAGGTACACCTGGAGCTGGAGCTGGATGTTTTATACATTTCAGTACCTGGTTAAAACTTTTTAATTTACCCATTATTTTAGTTGTTCAATAGGAGGCTATGATTTTATATCAGTGTTTATTCAGATGATAATTGGCTAGTGGTGGATTGTTTAATATATTACACATTTTAAAGTATTTACTTTTTTAATTGTTTAGATTACTCAAAATTTTAGTATTATTGTGAATATGTTAATGGTTCTGTTTTAAGCTTTTTAAAATTATTGTACACTGTTCTAAGAGCAATTGCTAAAGAACTGTATACAAAAACTTTAAATAAATGAATAAATAAAATAATGGCATACTCTTGGGAATTCTGGATTGTGATTGCCTTTTACGTTCATTCCTTTTCCGTAAACTCTACCCCTTGTTCTTCCCCCTCCATTTTAGCTTGTTGGTCCTCTATTTCATGCACTTTTAAATAAGCTCAGTGTATTTATTTGGCTTCTTTGAAGGGATCTGGTGCTAACGTCAGTACCCAGACCATGTGGTAGACCACTGAGGGGGCAGCTATGAAGCTTTCTGTGCAGGGTGACCAACCATCCTTTAGCGGGACAATAACAGAGCAATATGTTACACCCTAACATGCTAAAGACAGTCAAAACTATGGCAAGGGATTAAACACACACACAGAAGTAGATTGATACTTATGCATTCAACCTGGAGTAGTGTGCTCAGTTTTGGGCCCCTCATTACAGAAAGGATATAGCCAGGTTAGAGTCAGTGCAGCGTAGGGCCACAAGGTTGGTGGCCAGTTTGCAGGGGATGCCGTATGAGGTGAGACTGAGGGAACTGGGTCTCTTCAGCCTGGAGAAGAGGAGACTCAGAGGGGTATGTTGGCGACATACAGGTATGTGAGGGGATGTCACATGGAGATGGGTAGAGACCTGTTCTCCCCTGCAGAGGAAGGCAGGACGTGCTCCAGCGGAGCAAAGCTCAGGGAGCCAAGGTTCCATTTGGATGCCAGGAAGCACTTCCTGACAGTCAGGACCCCGAGGGTGTGGAATGGGCTTCCACGAGAGGTCGTTGAGGCCTCATTGGTGCAGGTGTTCAAGGAAAGGCTGGACGTTCACATGGTGGGCATGTTGTGAGCGGAGCCGGCTGGTGCCGGAGGTCAGACTAGATGGCCCGGGAGACCCCTTCTGACTCACTCTGTTTCTATGTAACCTTGTACAGGCTGTTCTGTGAACAACTTCCCACATTGTCTCAATGATGTTTAGCATGGGATGGAAGGCCACAGAAAAAGAGGTTAGGTAGCATCGTGGGAGGGATATTCCACATGAAGCATGCAGAACTGTCTTCATGAGACTTGTCTATGAAAAGTTGTCCTTACAGAAATACACATGTGGAAGGCAGTCCTTATTGTGCGTCATGTCACAAACCACAGCTGCTGTGTAGCTGGTGTGGGAATGATGGCAGCAATTCTGAACTCTGCATCAACTAGCAAGTAGATAGAAATCCAAAACAGAAATTCCAGAATGAACATTTCCTTATCTAGATGGTGTAACACGGAGTTAGGTGATGCCCACCTACCTGGTATCGATCTGGAATGTGGCCTTTTAAAATGTTGGGCACATCACCAATGTTCAGACCAGTTCCTTCCTTTTCTTCTAATCCCATGCTGTCACAGAAGATAATAGGCACTGGCTTCCCATCTTCACTTTGAACTTCATAGTTCCTATACTTTTTTTTTGAAGGAAAATGAAAATACCACTTCATTTTCTCTTTTATATTTGTGAGGAACAAATAGCAGCTATTAGTCAGAATTGTAACTTCTTGGGTGTTTTGAAGTTGTGCAAAATCACAAAAGTGTTGTTATTGTATAGGTTAATAAGAAGGTCCAGTAAGGTTGTTGGCATTTACTCAGAAGATAAACTAGTGCCTTTAAGAATTATTTATCTAAAATGCAGCCATGAAGGTACAAGAAAAAATTTCCTGCAGTATCCTGATCTACATGTTTGCTGATTAAAATGGTTCAGGGTTAGGGCTAAGCTTGAATCCCTTTGTACCCCTTTCTAAAACAAATGAGCAGGTACATCACCCAGGACAGTGACCAGCTGAGGCGTCCAATTTCCACACACTTCCAAAGTTGCACAACTGTCCTTAATTTAAAAAAGAACCCTATGGGTTTCCTAAACAGTTTTCCAAGCACTGGCAGCTCCTTCAAAATGCTCCTAGAGGGCCAGGTGTCAAGTCAGCTTTCATGATCTCCAAACAAGGACAGCAAAGGGTAGAGGAACAGAAAAGCAAGTCAAACACAGGTCACAATTATGGCAGGGAGAGGAAAATAAGTAGGTCTTACTGCAGGGTCCTCTGGGATACCCATAGAAGAACTGAGAGGAAAGAAAATGAAGGGTAGGACAAAGAACCCAATGTGAGTCCAAAGTTGGGTGTACCATGAGTTTATTACACCAGGTAATCTCAGCAACACACTTCCAAAGGAGATTCTTGCCCTCTAGATACCTTGAAAGGTTTGGGAACTTTTGCTGAAGTTTTAATGCCTGCTGCCAGAGAGAACACATTCACACACACACATACATGGCACTTATAAAGCAAAGAAGAGCTTATTCAGAAGAAAATATAGAACAGGTACAATGTTTGCCCAGACAGCAAATATTCCTGCTGCAGCCCAATCATATTCCCCATTTCCAAGGAGGTGAAGAGCCCCCTGCCTAATAGCTTTATACATAGAATGAAGCACGCAGAGAAAGTCCAACTCTCTTGCTTGTCTGCCAGTTTTACTACACCATAGTCTCTCAACAGCAGTCCCTTGCTTGCACAGGAAGGGCACAAGTATTCCACATACCAGGCTGGGTCGCCAGGTTTGTGTTTGAAACATGCCCCCTACCATTTTCAAGGTCGCTGGTTCTTATACTGTCTCTCTCTGTACTGGGTTGTGTGGAACTGGGAAGGTTTCCACTGTATCTCAGACTAATTGTTTGATGGGTTCATGACTGTGATATCTACTACTGTCTCCTATGTGACCATGTCTGTTTTCTAGAGTACTTTCTCTGTCAATGGAGCAGTTTCCAAGTACTGACGCTTCTTTCCCTCATTTCTTGGCGACTCATTGTTCTCCCTCAAAAAAGGGCTCCATCTTCCAGGGTCAATTTGCCTAATCTCTTCAAGGGGAAATCAGTTCAGGTTATGCCTGACCTTTTCTCTGCAAGAATTCCAGAATTTATTATCCATCGCCCAGTCCTTTGCTCACTTCTTCTGAATTCCAGCTTACCCAGCACATTCTATGGCCTGGGACCCTGTCCTTGTGGTGCTAATATTGATATGAATTATATACATGCACTACAAGTCAGTCACAGAACAACCAAACAGCAGTGGCTTATTGCCAGTGTGAGTCCTCATGCTGTTCAGTAAGACAGGATCTGGGAGACAGAGAGGCAAATTAACATAATATCGACCACATACTCCTTACGGGATTCAATTTTAATGCAAGGCTTCTAATGTACACAATTACTATTTCGATCCCATGTTCTTCAAATTCTGAGTCACTCTGAGATTCTGGCCAGGAAGCACAGTAATGGTCTACCAATAAATCAATGAATAAACCACAGTTTTGTTTCTATTGCAGTAGATATTTCAATATGCAGCGTTCACTTAAGTTCAAACGGAACTCCTGCTTGGTAGGTAAGGATGAGGCTGGACGATGGGTTAATTTTACATAAGTTTGACAGTAGAATTGTCAATAAAACAAGTACAAAGAACCAAACTTTGCAGAGAAATGTCTCTGAAACATTTGGAAAAATACTTATCAAAATATTCAGGACTAGAAAGTACTTTAATCTTAGATTAGAAGTTTAGAGTTACCTGCATAGTCACACTTGTGGAATCTGAACCTGCTATGGCATTACTTGTCACATAGCCTTGATAAACAGAATTCACGGAGTTGAAAAAACTGGACTTCCCTGCTCCAACTGGTCCAAGGAACAGAATGCGAAACTTTGGCACTGAATTCCAGGAGGGTTTGAAATTCCTTATTTCATTCATCAGCTTTTCTTTTCCCCTATTGAGACAGAAAAATACCTCTATGTGTATTAACCAGTTATGTGCATTAAAACATCCCTGAGCATATTCATGTATGCATGTATACAGGCAAAAATAAAAAAGAAGGAAACCCTTGTTACAAATTAGGAGGGAGAAAGGCTGTAACAATCAGGGAAAGAAAAATAACTTGATAAAAACCCACTAAGAACTTTAATAAAGTTGTTTTTCTGTTCCCACTACCCACTGTTTAAAATAATTGAGTGAAAAACTTTGTCATACAAAAAAGGAAGTAGTAGTAGTTAAGAATAAAACTTTTTCCATTTTAAGAGAAAGTTAAGGTGCTTAAAAATTTATTCATGCACCAAGAAGCACAAGAATTGAAACTGAAATTGCCTGTCCTTAACATTGCACCACGAAAGGCTTCTAATGTACATATTAGAAGGTAAGGACAGGAAACCTGGAACCCTTCATTTATCTTGGAGTTCAGCTATCCCAGACCACACAGTTAACTGTTAGACATGACAGGCATTGTAGTCCAAAGTGTGTTGAGAATACCAGATTGCTTACTCAGGATGTAAACAGGAATCATATACCATACAGGCAGGATTCACCTCCTTTTGTTTGCTGACTGTTACCAAAGGAAATTGTAGGTGTGTGATGCTTAGTTGTAAGTACAACTAAACATATGAAACTCTTGGCTTACTCCAGTTTAGGTGAGGTGCCTTAAGTTACCATTACCATGCTTCCTGCTAAATGAAGAAATGTGCATGTGTTCCAGACAGCATAACCAAGCAAAAATGATGTTTTTTTACTCTACCTGATGTAAGGCTGTCAGAATGATGACTATGCAGAAGCTGAAAGGCTCAGAAACACTGCATTCTCCACCAAGACGTAACCCAAAAGTTGCTCTCCAAGTTTGTTGAAATACAACTTCCATACTGGTTTAGGTGATGGGACTTATAATAAATACTTCTGGAAGGCACCACCACCCAGATGTGAAAGCTGCCTTAGTTCATCTAAAGCCACTTGAAATGACATCAGGATCTTTTTCACTTTCAAAGTCACAGCTTGTAACCCAAATATGTTCAGATTATTCACCTACCCAGCTGTCCATTCAATCATCCTGTATGGATTTTGCAGCAGAGCACCCACACCTAATGGAAAACATCAGAAAACTATGAGAATCCAAATCAACTGGCTTTGGATGGGAATTATTTTCTATTTATTTCAACTTACCTTCAACTCGATAAACTTCACATTCCAAAAGAGCCCCACCATTTCCAAACAAGTCCTCTGCATGGAATGCATAGTTGGCAATATTAGCATTTGCAAAGACTGTTGCAGTATTTTGATGCATGAGTACAAGTGCTCCAGCTCCAAAGTTAGGGCCTGAGGCAGAATTGTCATATACAGCCTGATTTGCAGATTTGAATGGGAATTTTAGTGGGCTAGGCTCCTTCTCACTCCCTTTCAATCTAAAGAGAAAACTTTTGTCATCATATACATATGTCCCACGTGAAGTATAACTCTCAGCAGAAAAGCCTCCGAAAATGTAGCCACTTGAATTGTATGCCACAGCTACAGTGGGGCCTTGTTGATTGCATATGTTATGAAATGCGCTAGCAGTGAAGCCATGCACAGTTGCCTTGAAGAGGAGGCTCAGGTTATCACACTCCAATAACTGCAGTAGCACTTTTTTCTCCTCTTGGGTCAGTCTGGATTTGACATCAACCATGGTTAATCTAAAAGAGAAAGAGGACAGAGATAGTTGTCAGGTTGGATACATACATCTTAATTTGCATTTCAGCAGCACTTGGAATATGTGCTGCTGTGCAATAGAATCCAGCACATACCTACTCTGAAGGAAACCTCAAAAGGTGTTTGTCCTTGGTGCCTAGGATCGCAGCCTTAACTGCACATTGGACAGTGCCCATTGAAACATCAAGGATAGCCAAATACTTCCATACTGAAACTAGGTCTGCAGGGGCACCTCAGCCCATCACAGCTGAAATAAGCCACAGTGACCTGTGGTAATCGTGCAAACCAACCCACAGTGACTGTTGTCCAAATTTGCGATGCTAAATATTGGAGACAAATTTCACACTTTCTCCAGCAAGACCAATCCTTGATTACAGCACACTCCCATTAAATCTGTTTCAAGCTGTTTCTAGAGCTTAGCGGTTAATCTGGTGACAGGCATTACTACACCAGTTTAACATTTTTTCTTCTGGCTTAAGAGAATTGTGGAGCAATGCTGTGCCACCTGGTAAGTAGAACTCAATCTTGTAAACTTACATATTAATCTTCTCTTCTTGGAAGGATAAAATTAGATTGCAATATTAAAATATGTACACAATTTTTCACTGTCCAGACCTCAAACTGGAGGTGTGCACAGGGCTTAGCCTACCTGAGAATATACCACATCAGGGAAATATAATGGGAGTGAAGCATCCTAAACTGCCAGAAATCCATTTCAATCTCACAGTGTGGTTTGCAAAGGGAAAGTTAAGGAAAGCTGGGGCGGGGGGGGATTCAGTCGGTATGGCTCTAAATGTCTATTTTCCTTCAACTAGTGATGATTACAGGAAACCCCAGTTGCTCAAGCAGCTGGATCCTACAAGATATCTACTTGAAAGTGTCCCTCAGAGCCAAAGTAGATGTCAAATTTTATGCTCACTGCTGGATTTTTTCCCCAGAGCAGGTACCAGTTCTCTCATGACCACAGCAATGGAGGAACAGGGAACAAAGGCACACACCACACGATGTCTAATTTGGCCCTATATTCAGTGTGCCCTGCTCCCAAGTAAATGGTCACAAGATTGCAGCCTTAGCCACACCAAACACTTTAGCTGATGACACAAATCACAGCACACTTGGACAATAGTCCCCATCAAGTCCAGACCTCGACTGACATTTGGTGACACTAGCACAGATTTATGCAATTAGTCTGAAATCCTGAACAAACTTCCTAGCGTCTAACTTCCACATGACACAGTAGGCTTTACTTCTGAGGGATAAACTCCACAACAGCAACCTTGTTTGGGAATGAGTTGATTTTTAACACTAATTCATGGGTCGTCAAACTACTATCTGCGGGCTGCATATGGCCCGCCATGCTCCTTTATCTGGCCCGCCTCAGAGCTTTTGGACTCGCTAGGATCTCCGAGTGAGTCCAAAAGCTCTGAGCCGGCAAAGGCATACTCAGTGGGGAGATGGCCACAATCGCAGGCACACTTGTGCAGGGAAGAAAGGTGCGATCGCAGTCGTGCTGGGTGGGGGGGAGATGGCCATGATCACAGTCATGCTGTGGGGGGAGATGGCCGCAATTACACCCGCCTTCCCTGCAACAGCATGCCTGTGATCCTGCCTGCCTTCCCTGCACAAGCACGCCCATGATCATCCCTGTCTTCTCTGCACGATCGTGCTGGGGGAGGGGGGATGGCTGCGGTCGCACTGGTGCAGGGAAGGCGGGTGCAATTGCGATCGTGCTGGGGGAAGGAGGTGGCCGCAATCACGCCCACCTTCCCTGCACAAGCGCGCCAGCAATCGCACCCTTCTTCCCTACACAAGTGCAATCACGTCCATCTTCACCCCCCCCCCAGCACGATCGCAGACATTGTAGCTATACCCCTTGACTATGGACATGCATTTCTCCACCTCGTCTTGGCCTTCTGCTGCAGCCCAGGCAAGCAGAGCAAACATTTTTAAAATTTTAATTATTTTTTTAAAATAATTAATTGTAATTATTTTTAATATGCTGTGTTCATAGGAATTCATTCATATTTTTTTCAAAGTATAGTCCAGCCCCCCAACAGTCTGAGGGACAGTGAACTGCCCCCCTGTTTAAAAAGTTTGAGAACCCCTGCTCTATTCTGTACTGAGGCCCCTGTCTGTAACTTTCACTGCCTATTCATCCTTTGCGAATGGATCAGTTACTGGGAAAGAAAATTACAAGCATAGGCAGAGCCATCCAGATTGGGACAACTCTGGGGGTGTGGAAGGGGTGGGTTAGAAATCTAATCAATCAATCAATCCAGTATTATTGCCTGATTGATTGACTGATTGATTAGATTTCTAACCCACCCCAATAGCCATATGGCTCCCTTGGCAAGCTGCAACAACAAAAATACATAATAAAATACAATATAAAAACAGAGATTACAAAAATAATAAAACATTAAAACCAACATAAAATGTGCAGCACTTATAACATACCCCACAGTTAAAATACTGCTTAAAACAAATTAACAAAGCACCATTGAAATAAAAAGGTGTTTGCTTGATGCCTGAATGCAGAGAATGTAGAGAAGGCCAGGCAAGCCTCCCTGGGGATGCTGCCCAATCTGATTGGAGAGGTGGAGGCCAGGTCAGCAGAGATGGAGCCAAGGGATCATAGGAGGCAGAACAGTCTTTGAATCCCCAACAGGCATTAACTCATAACACAGAAAGGAAGAACTGAGGCGCATTCACTGTAAGGCTGCATGCAAAAGGGAGAAATCACAGTCTCACAAAGGCACATTCTCTTGTCCCAGGAACAACTTCTATTCCACGGAGATTCATAAATGTGCAGCACAACCAAAGAAAAAGCAGGATGCTGCCATACAGAGTCACATACCCAGGGCCATAATGGGCCTCAATTCACATACAATAGACACATGCATGCACACTACAAGAAAGCAAGCATAAGCAATATGCAATAATATTTCAAATACATCTTCCATACATCTTTTAGGGGAAATCATCCTCTATGCTTTCCTGGAAGCAAATGCCTTCTATCTCTCCCATGCTAGAAAAAAGAAATACAGCATACAGAAACAGAAAACATGTAATTACATACCTCAAAATGAAGGGTTTTATACTTCCTCATTCCCATAAGGCCTGGGCTGTTAACAAGAGATTAACTTTCACCCTGTTCACCATATGCATGATGCAAATTTTCAATTTTTAATATGATATTCATGGTCTTTATGTGTGCATGGGGAGCAGGGCGACACCTATCAGCAGTGAGATCAGAAGGAAACTTAGGGAAGGGAAATTTAATTTAATTAAAACATTTCTATGCTGTTATTTGCAACAAGCCTCAGGACGGCTTACAGTGCCGGGACGTATTCTTCCTTCCAAATCATAATTAACTGCCCCATTCCAATTGTCCTGTATTTCCTTAAGATCAAATTAATAAAACTAACCCAAGCCTTTAGTCGACTAGATAACAACTCTGGACTTCACAGCAGTGACGTCAAGTAGTCACACACACAAGCGAGGCGGGAACACAGAAAGAGGGAGGGGGGAGCGGTCTCTTTCCTTAAAGCTTGAATTCTTAAGTGGGGCTAAACATTTAATTAGGTGAGACTTACCTCTTAACAGATCTGCATAGGATTTCTCTATGCACCCATTAAGCATTACCACCCCTCTTAAACGCCTTCGCTCTTAAACGTATACACACACCAATTTAGCCAGGATATGTAAGGACGCCGAGAATGCAGCGCGTCAGTATGCAAAGCAAAGAAGAATCTGCCGAGGGGAGAGCAAGGAAAATTCTCATTCCTGGACCATAAAGAGAGCCACATGTCCGACACATAGAACAGCCGCGGCTTCGCTTTCTCTAAAAGGGATTTTAAACTAGCCCAAACTCTTACCGCGGTTGATCTTGCGTTCCCGTAACTGCTGCCACGCAACCTTCTCAAGTTCCCGAAGATGCCGGCAGCATTTGCAAATGGAGAAACGAAAGTGAAATTGAAGAGATTTCCAGGAAGCGGTTCTCTTTCTTTGTTCGCAGTTCTCAGAATTAGGTTTACATTTGAGTCTGCTAGAAGCCTCGCTGAAACCTGTCTTACAAAATCTTTTCGACAATGGGAGCTTCTTTGCTGGAAATGCAAGGAAGTGGATGGGAACTTGGGATGGGAACTTGCCATATATGCAGTAAGGACATGCAGTTAAAAAATGTATGCTGAAATACAGAGAATTCTGAAAATTAACATTCCTTTGAACGCTAGGGATATGCTACTGAGTACTTTGCCAGAAACTCATCCAAGAAATATGAAAGAATTATTTAACTATATGATAACAGTAACTAGTGTTAAAATTACTGCAACACGGAGAACAGTTGATTGCCCATCTAGTGAAGATTGGAAAAATAAATTAGCAGAATACGCAGTGATGGGGGGAATAACCATATAATTATATATAAACAGAATATATTTATTCTATTTATGTATAATGATATAAACAGAAGATAAAAGCAGGATACAAATAAATAAGGTGCTGCATCAGCAAAATTATATTCAATATTTCATGTGTAAAAAGTAGCCCAAACCCTAACTATCCTGCCAAATTTTTTGCCTAAGTGGATGCTATTCTTCCTTAGAATTCTAATCTGGATTAAATTACAGTTACTTAACAAAGAATCATTCTTGCCACTTTAATGTCTATTCGGCAGATTTGCAGATTCTACTGGATCCCTTTACCAACTAAATAATTTGGGTACTTTGACCTGAAATTTTGCCCTGCCCTTTGCTAACCCCTTTCACCAGGTCATCTATGAACAAGCTGAAAAGCACTAGTCCCAAAAACCAAAATCTATGGATGAACCCAGTTTACATCCCACCCTTCTGAGCACTGAGCATTTACTCCAACTCTGATCTCTGTTGTTTACTCAGGATGTTGATTGTCAGCAATTTTGGGGTGGGGGGGAGTGTTGTAACCCCCCTCTTAATCGAACATGCAGCTAGGGCATGGCTCGTCACAGGTAAGAAGCATGATCAGAGTGTCCTGTTCGCATAAGAACAAGAACCCCAACGAATGTGCACGCTACGCAAGGCTGACCACAAAGCAGCCTTTGTTGCTACACTCCAGCATAACGTCACGCCCTGTACACTCACTCGCTTGCTTGCTTTAGCATAAAAAAAAGTGTGCGAATGTAGCTCAGTGGATTTCCCCTATTGTTCGCTGTTATTCAAGCACCTGCATAGCCGTCCGTGTAAAAGAGTATAAAAATCCTGCCTTCGATCTGCTCAGCACCACACTCTCACGAGTGCGTGGTCCCTGCCGGCAGGTAAATAAATCTCTCGGTAATTCCAACCAGTCTCTGGTCTCGTCTGTAAAATCGCCCCACAACATTTGGAGGCCCCAGCGAGATGTTGAGACTATCGGTCTTGCCTCCCCCCGACACCAGGGACGAGCCCATAGGCATCTTATGCCTCTACCCCAGTTCGGTGGGACGTCTGACTAGCCGAGAGAGGAGTAACCGGTAAGTGCGCACGGCGGTTACCCGCCATCTGTTCTGAATATCTGCAGATCTGGTACTGGAAAGAAAAGCCTGCTGGACGCAGCGTAAGGGCTACTTTCTGGTCTGAGGCGAGACGTCGCTTCCGGCCTCAGTTCCTGTTTAGATTGTCTGTCTTGACGTCTGTCTTGTTGCCGTCTGTTTTGTTGATGTTTTGTCGTCTGTCTTGTCTGTTTTGTCGTCTGTCTTGTTGGACTGACACTTGGAGTTCTCAGTATGGTTTATGTCCCGTTCTATTGTTGCTGTCTGTGTTTTCTGTCTTGCCTGTTTGCATTGAAATGTGTTGCCCTTTCTGGGAGGTAAGCGTAGGCCAGAGTGGGTTTGGGGGTTCCTCAGGAAATAGAAGCTCCCCACGCAGCCGCACCAATCTGTCCTCTTCAGGGCAGGGTTGAAAGCAAGGGCGTGGATGGGTGTTCTTGCCCCTGAGATGAGAATGTGTGAACCTGGCTTTGATTGAGAAAGATTCATGAGGTCATTTGCCTGAGCCCAAGCATGGCTGAGTCCAGCTGGGAAAAAGGTGATGATCAGGGCATGAGTGTGTGGGATTTTTCC